TCTCTAATAACACCCCATAGATACACCCAGAACCACGCTTTACTGATCCACTAGGCATTTCTTTCTTTTTTTTTAAATTTTTTTTCCACTAGGCATTTCTTAATTTAGTCACATTGACATAACACCATTAACCATTCCATTGCAGAATTTATTTATTTACAGTCCTACAACTTAGGATTTTGATTTCTTATTAGTGATGTTACAGCCTGTGGATCATCGTCTGCCTATCCTAACATAGGTAATTCACCCATGGCTGTTTAATTGCTCAAGGCCAGTTGAGAATGTTTTTCTCAAGTCTACTAAGACAGAGTCCTATAAAATGAAAAGAAATCATGGGAAAACATTCCATCACCCTTTCTTTATTTGGTTAGAATCAACTTCCAGGTTTTACCTCCTCAAAAAGGGAGTGGCATTATACAAGGCTTTATTCACTGAAGTAAGTTACAGAAGGGATGAAGGATTACAATGAGCTTTGATCTATCTCTGTCATACCTGATTGCTGAAGGGATATTAAAATCTTTCCATTCTCCTGCTGCGTATGGTGTTGATCAAGGCTATAGCTGGGGATGGAGCCATAAATGGGATGTAGCCAAGGCACGCCTGGTCCAGAGCCCTCAGCTTCAGCTAATTCTTCTTACTCAGAGACTGTTGTGCTGCTGTCCAGATTAGCAATGCATGAGGACAGCAGGGCCACATCAAGCAGAAAGGTTTATATTTGGGGTTGTATCACTGTGGGTGGAACATGCCAACCTTGCTGACAGAAATAAACTCCAGCACCCTCAGCCTCCACCCTGCTGATGTTCAGTGTGAAATCTGTCCCTGATCCACTGCCACTGAATCTATCTGAGACTCCAGAGGCCCAGTTGGAAAGCCTGTAGTTCAGAAACTGTGGAGCCTGGCCTGGCTTCTCAAGATACCGATGCAAATAGGCCATCCTTTTACTCTGCAGCAGGCTCTGACTGGACCTGCAGGAGATGGAGGCTGGCATTCCAGGGGTGATGAGTAGGGAGAATGGAGTCTGGGTTATCACAACATCCCCAGTGGATCCTGAAATAAAGACAGAAAATGTAAATTTATTTAACAACATTATTATTGATTTTTGTGACTTTTCTTTTTGTTATTTCCTCAGGTGAAGTCTTCGTTTTTCTGTATGTACTTTCTGTTCATATCCCACAAAATCCATTTTCACAAAAGAACAAGAGAGTTGAAGGCCTCAAGGTGCCTCTGTATGTAACTGTACCATCCCCCAGGTCCCCCAGTATGTGTGTCAGGTCTTTGTTCCATCTGAAATCTTCCTCATTCACACAGGGGTGGACATCACATGGCCCATTGGAGGACAAGACCCTCACTTCTTACATATGGACAGAACACACAGGGGCAGCAGTTAGGGCCCAGAACTGACCCTACCACCCCATTCTCCTCCCTCAGCTCCCTCTGTCCTAACCAGAGATGCAGAGCATTAGCAACCCCAGGAGCTGAGGAGGGAACCTCATTTTGAGAAGTTGAACTGCAGAGTCTAGGTCAATCAACAAAAATTTAGAGCTGAGCTTTTGTGTTGCACTTACAAAAGAAGGTACTATCTAGAGAACAATATGCAAATCCTTTTCAGGGACAACAGGTCCAGATAAATGGAATGGTCTTGTGGGTCTCTTGTGTTTGCAAAAGTACATAAAATATCTTGTGTGTCTGGATGTAAACCATTAAAGAAAAAATTGTGTTGCCTGATGAGGGAAAGTCAAATGCTGAAAACTGTCAGTGGGGAAAACATAGTGTATGTGATCCTGGCACTCTAAATCCATATGCTACTTGTAAATAGCATTGTAAATAGCAATGATGAAGACAAATGTAGCCAGGTCATCCTCTGGGCATAGAAAACCATCTTGCTTGGCTCTCTCTACCTAATTTACAGAGGAGGAATGGCCACCAATCATGATGCTGACTGGATTTGAATCGGAATGAAGACAAGATAGTTCACATCTTCTCTGGCAACTGAGAGCACAATGGTAACAATTACAAAATGTCAGATGTATTGCTTAGGAATTGTCTTTCCTTAGAACTAAGTAAATTATTTGCCTTAAGAGCACTTGGGCAAAGAAAATAATACTAGGAGAATATACTTTATGTAAAGTGTTTATCACCAAAACATAAAAGTGAAAATCAGTATTAATACTCCAAGAAGGGGAAAGAAATTTAGGGTGATGACGTGTCAACATTTTTATGAGTGGTGATGTTTCATAGGTATACCTCAAACTCATTGATTTGTATATTTTACATATCTGTGACTCTTAACCTGGCAATTGGATCCCAATAAAGGGACTTTTTAAAAATGAAGTTGACAAATAAATGCTGCCAGTGTTGTGGGGAGAAAGGAACCCTTCTCCATTGTTGGTGGCAGTGCAGACTGGTGGAACCACTGTGGAAATCAATATGGAGATACTTCAAAGAACTAGGACTAGAGGTCCCATATGACCCAGCTATTCCTCTGCTGGGTATCTTTCCAAAAGAGTTAAAAGATCATACCACAGCCATATATGTGCAGTTATGTTTATAGTGGCACAGTTTGTAATAGCTAAAATGTGGAAACAG